TATTCCTAACTCCAGCAGATGCACAAGTGATCAGTTTGTACTGATCTGTTGAACAGCAAACATGTAATGTAAGGGACAGTCAGAATATTACAAGACAGGCTTTTAACACCGCAGAAGCTATTTCAGTATTTAACATGCTGAGAAGACAAGCTAATCACAAAAGACTTGTCTAGATGTCTGTTCCTTTCACTCCTTAGGTATTTTGTAGATGCTGACAGCCAGTGTGAACTTTAAATCAATTTATTGCATATGTAAACATATGCAGTAAAACCATTTGCCATATTATTTAACTACACAGAGAGTGAATCGTTGACCATGAGCTGATCCGACCTTTTCAGATCTAATAAAGAAATCTGAAATATTATTTCAGCCTTTCAGCTCCAGTAATATGCAGTAGGAGTATCTGGATCTAACTGAAAATGTCAGATGCACTCTAATGTGCAACCCATCAAAGTTATGATGCATATGAACCAATAACTGGTTAAAAATATAAATCTGTAACATCCGTGGTGCATCTCAATTGCTTAGATAAATTGTTCTGCCATTAATACGGGCTAGTTAAAAACATGCATTAAAAGCAATTGTTGGACTGGAATACATGTGAGATGTACAGCTGCTTAAATATTAAAATGATCTTGAAAGATGGGTGATAACACCAGTTTAGAATATTACTGGAAAAAACAGTGAGCACTGAGAATACCAGTGCTCTAGTTCATGTCTTGCTAGCTTTGTTGCATGGTAATGTAAGATCAGTGGTCACATGTAACCTCAAAATTTTCCTTTTTAATGTTAGTAATTTGCTGCTTGTGAAGTTTTTAGTCTTCCCAGAAACAGTCCATTATATAAGCTGAAGTGTCCTTACCAATCTTATTTACAATGAATTTAGTATTAAGCATTTTTCATAGTCTTGTGCTTTTATGAAAAAGTCTACTTCTTTTTTTTTTAACAGTTTTTAAAAAAACAACACTTTTTAGTAGATTATGGTGTTTAAGGATGTTTGATTTCTTTGTTTTCTTTGTGTCATCTTTGAAGTTTCTGTTCTTGGTATTTTACTAGATACTCAGATCTAAGATAAATCTGTTTTTAATAATTATTAAGGATGAGACCAATTATTCATTGGTGTAATTTCTGGATTATGAATTTTAAATTTGGATTAAAGTAGATAGGCACAATGAAAAGCAACTTTGTATCCTAAGAAAATTGTATTTTGTTAGCTAAACAGTCTATCCAGATTGTTTAATCTTAAAGCAGTTGTTACACTGAAATGGAGTTGGTTTTTAATCTAATCATTGGTAGTTTGTGCAATTTGAGTAATTTTTAACGGAAATGTTCCTATTAGTAAAATGTTGTTGGAACTAGAATTAAAATGAACTATGGGAAGCATTGCTAAAACGATAACTTTGCATTAAAGAATGATGTACGTTTTAAACTACCCAGTTAATGCTATTTGAACTGTTCTTGTGAGGCAATGCTGCCCTCCCCTGGTATGCTGGGGAAAGCAGGAATTTCTATCCCAGTCCCAGCAAGTTCTAGGATTTACTGTTAAAGACACATTGCTGAATTGGTGAAAATGGTGGAAAAAAATGCTCTCAAAAAGACCATTATGTGCCTTCTATATTACAAAACAAACAAACAAAAAAAAAGAGTGGAACAGACATTTGTGCTGTGCTTTTGTGTATGCATGATGTGGATGTATGTACAAATAATATGCAGGAATATCCTATGAACACACAACAAATTGAGGGGCTGAATTAAGTTTGGGTGGCAATTTCGAGGATGAATTGAAGACAGAATATATAGATAACAGGTAGCTGCTGAAAGTTAGCAAGACCAATTACAATAAACTTTTGTTTAACAGTATAGTTTTGTCTTGCATATAACGTTTAGAGATTTATCTTTAATGTTTACGTGTTCAATTCTGCAATAGAAAAGTCGGTGGGACCATGGCCAACAACTTGCATGGGAATAGGATTAGCTCTTGTGCAAATGAAACTATAGCAAAACCGTCATCTTCTGTCAGGGGCTGTTGATTACAAAGATGCCACCATAGGCTCAGAAAGTCCCTCCACTGCACATTCCTGAATGCTGAGGAAGGCAGTCCAAGGAAATTTTACTATTGCATCGTCTGTTCTTAATATATTTCTTCAGACATCTGTTGTTAACCACTGCTGGAGACAGAATATCAGGGTAGAAGGTTCTTTAGACTGTCCAGCTATAGCTGTTGTCTGTTAAATAAGTGTGTTGCTATTTGCTTTAATTTTGTGTTCCTTAGTTTTCTCACTGCTAGGCAGTTTCACCATAGTCCAGATAGCAGAAGGAGATGAACCTTGTTTAAAATATAAGAATTTTAGTTCCCACATCTGACTCCAGTAAAGTGTGTGTGGTGGGGTTTAGAGTTTGTTTGTTTATTATTAAGGTATAAAATATCCCTTTATTTTTATAATTAAGATTTTTCTAATTGCTGGACAACTTGCAAAACACACAACTTTTTTTCCTGTGGCATATGACTTGACTTCTGTTTTGTTTGCTCCTTATCCTTCTTAATTCATTGGCAATCACTTAACACTAGAGAAAACTGGAAAAGAGTACGTTCAAATCTTGGGTTCATGAATTTCTTTGTGTCTTAGATGTGAACAGATTGCCAGATTCAGGATCAGGATGGAGGTTTTTTTCCCCAGACTGGCTTGCTTGAGGACTTTGTGCGTGAGTTCTTGTCTACTGCTTAGGGTCAGGTCATCTGGGAGATGTTTTAAGAACTGTGGAATATAATGACATTCCCAACCTGACCTGCTCTGGTCCAGCAGCACATTACAGTGGTGGTGGCTGTTGATATTTTACTACTACCTTTTATAACAAGGTCCTAGAAGTTGTTTTGTGTCTGTGGTGCCTGCCAGTCTATAAACTAGGTGTGGACCATTTTGAACTAGACCGCAGCTACTCAGTTACCTGTGACTGTGGCAGATGGGACCTGAAGATCCCAGTCCTTCACAGGCTTCTGTTTCTAAAGTGATTTTGCTGATTGCAAAATAGCAGTATTTACCTTTGTGCATGTAAGCTAAAAGGCTATAATAAGCAATCCTTTGGAGAGCTAGCTGTAAAACCACTGCAAGTATGGCTCCATAACAGCTAAAGGTGAACTAATTCAACACCGAGATGCCTCATCTGTGACATCCTGCCACAGCAAAACCAGTAGATGGAAGACTGGTAGATGAGATGCTCAGCATGAGCCGGCAGTGTGTACTTGCAGCCTAGAAAGCCAACCATATCCTGGGCCGCATCAAAAGAAGCGTGGTCAGCAGGTTGAGGGGTCAAGGGAGGTGATTCTCCCCCTCTACTCGTCTCTTGTGAAACCCCACGTGGAGTACTGCACCCAGCTCTGGAGTCCTCAGCACAGGAAGGACGTGGACCTGTTGGAGCGAGTCCAGAGGAGAGCCATGAATATGGTCAGAGGGTTGGAGTAGCTCCCATATGAGGACAGGCTGAGAGAGTTGGGGTTGTTCAGCCTGGAGAAGAGAAGGCTCCAGGGAGACCTTATAGCAGCCTGCCAGTACTTAAAGGGGGCTACAGGAGAGATGGGGAGGGACTCTTGATCAGGGAGTGTAGTGACAGGATGAGAGGTAATGTCTTTAAGCTGAAAGAGGGTAGATTTAGATTGGATATTAGGAGGGAGTTTTCTACTGTGTAATAGTTTTCTTTCCTCTCTATAACTTTTGCAGGTACTGGGGCTGCTGGTGTGGACACTGATTGCTGGAACAGAATACTTTCTATATCCAGCCTTTGGCTGGGTGATGTTTGTAGCTGTGTTTTACTGGGTTCTCACCGTCTTCTTTCTGATCATCTACATGACCATGACCTACACCAGGATCCCCCAGGTGCCGTGGACCACAGTGGTAAATACGCCCATTCTTTTTTGTTTCAGGTTTGCTGGGTTATGAAGAGAATAAAGTATTGATGCATTCTATAGTTGTAGTTAACCAACTATACTTGTGCTTTTTGCAGATTTTTTGCCTAATTATGTGTGGCTGCGTACCTGCAGTGTTTAACCTTCATACTACCCAGACACTTTTAAAACACCTTTCCTATGATGTTTCACCATTTTGTTCAGCAGTTGATGTAGTGACTTGATTTTTAATAATCTGTGTGTGACTGATCCTTATGTACAGTGGCCTCCTTTTCTCTCTGTAGTGATTCCGTCACATGAAGAATGAGTCTGTTGCTGCCTTCGAGCTAACAGACCTGGCCATATGGCTTAAAGAGCAGAAATCCCTATTTGCATCCACACCATGAACTGGAAATAGGACCCTGGCTCTTAAAACATGAGTCTTCCTCTGATGAAGTAAAAGCAAAGGTGGTTCAGAGGTAGCAACAGTCTGACAATCCATATGTGGCCTACTGTGAAAATGGTGCTGAAAAATAGTGTTATATATATGTAAAATACATGCCATGTAATCCTTTGCTTTTAGCTAAAGACTTAATGCAAATCAGATAAACAGCTAATGTAATTACAGAAAAATTTCACAGGCACTTAAAATTCAGATCCAGTTTTTGTGGTTTGAACAAACCTGGCTAGCTGTACCTCTCAACAGTATATTTTTACATGATTTTCATAACAGGCTGGTGTTCAGGGTAATAGATTGTAAAAGTCATTGTTATCTCAGCCAGCTGGCTATTTGTGGCCCATCCAATAATTATTATAAATTTTAGCTTTGCATTTGTCTGATCCAGTGAGATATTGTTTGGTTTTTTTTTAACTAGCTAAAGATTATTGACTAGAATTTTGTCATTTTTATGGTAAAATAATATATTTGACTTCTGTGTGGCAAACAGCTTGTTACCAGCTATATTGTGTATGCAACTAAAATGGAATACTCTTTTCTTTTCATCTTCCCATTTGCTGCTGTAATAAATAGCCAGCTATAGCAATTACTAATAAGAACAACCAGGATTATGTTCAGATAGCTTCTCTGTTTTCAAGTTTCATGACCAGCAATTACCATTAAGGCTATAACACTGCTATGGAAATGTTGGATTATTTCAATTACAGCAGTAATGTGTCTGGATACGTTTAAAGGTGTGGGGTTTTTTTTCCCCATTGCATTGTAAGTAAAGTACATTCAAAGGGAAAGCATCGTTAAATGCATTTGGATACAGCTTTAGTCATTGCCCCTCTTTCATCAGTTTAACACTATTATGAGACAACAGCTGCACATGAGTGAGTTGCCCCTGATGTGTGTGGTAGACAAGCTGGAGTACTTTGTTTCTACTTCATACTACTTCTTGCTCTGAGTTCCAAACATATTGTAGATAAAATCACATAAATGTAGGTCCAAAAGGTAGTCTCCTTTTATAGTAAAGGGTAATATGAGTAATATGAAGAGAAAATAAATGCAAAATAAATAAAAGATGCTTGCATTCCAAGATTGTTTTGCTCTAAGGTATTAAACGAGCTGTTGGGAACAGCCTTTAAATTCAACCTCTGCCACTCCTGGCTGGCCAAGAGGAATGTTGGGTCTCTTTTCATAAAGATGTTGTTAATGTCTGTGTTCAAGAGAGCATGACACAATCCTTTCTGAGTGACACACACCTTTTTGAGTGAGTGAGTTTACACCCACCTTCCCCCTGTTCTCTGAAGTATCCTGAATTTCAGTCTCTGCTAGTTATTGCTCTGCCTCCTTAGGCGGCAGTTAGCTCAAACTGTGCCTATTGTATGCAGTATCCAAAGTTACATCTGGACTTCTCTGTCATAAATCCACTTTTTGCAGGTTAAGCACATTGACCAAATTGCTTAAGATGCAGTTACTTTTACTGCAAATTAACACAAAGGACGTGCTTCAAAACTGACTCTCCTTAATAGAGCAAGTTTTTGCTAAAACAATCAATGAAGCTTTTAAAATCTGGTAAGTTTGAATTTAAGAAGCAGATGGTAATTTAGCGAGAACCATTTGGTTTGAGTAATATATTGGCAGTAAAGGCCCAATCAGCTTGCATTGCGTTCCATTTTCCCCAACACTGTTATTTCCCAGACCAGCACTTCTCAAAAATTATGTGCTTTTTTCTTTTCTACATGACAAGATATTGCAGGGATTTGTAGCTTTCCAGGGTAATTGAGTCTTTTTGGAACAGGAAATCTAAAAATAACAACAAATACTCCAGGCAATCAAAACAGGAGTTTGAAAATTGGTGCTTTACAGAAGTTCATCTGAACTTGCCAATTGTTGGCATCTTATCCGAAAACTGACAGTTTGATATTTTATTACTGAATGCCCAGATTAAACAAGAGAGGTGAGATCTGTGGATAGAGATAATACCTTTTATTGGATGAGCGGATACAGTGAGGTAAACTTCACTCCGTAAGTGTATGAATCAAACCTCAAGTGCCAGGCCTTGGACTCCATCTGTATGCTGAAGCACTGCCTGTGGTTCACTGTGGAAAGGTGGGTAAGTGGCTCTTTTCCAAATGCCCTGAAGTTGCAAGGACTTAGGAACCTCGGGAGGATGTTCATGCCCTTCAGCCTGCTCTGAAAACTGTAAAAAGGCTTTTTCCATGGGAAGTCTCCTATAGGCAGTGGTGACCTTAAGACTGACATGTTGACAGACGACAGCACAGAATGCTGCTCTCTGGAGGGGCTTGCAGTTGAGAAAGCACATGTTTGGGGAATGGCTTCCCTTCAGAAAGTTTTGAACCCTGCGTGTCACAGGAGTGTGTGGCAGTGGGCCAGACTCCACTGAGCCTGAAGTAAACTTTACCAGAACCAAATGTCCTGGAGGTGTGGAAGTGAGGAGCTTCCATACCAACCACTTCAAGCTGTTGATCCACACTTTGGTGCGCTGAGGGAATTGCTCATGTGGATACAGCTGTTGTCACTGCCTACTGAACTTCTCTTCTTGGGCTGCAGCTCTTTGTTTAGATTCTGCCAGAGTTGGTGACTAGTGAATTCCATAGTGAATAATTAGCATATATCCCTAGCATCCACTGGGTCATACCATGGAAATTAGTAAGTTAGAGCTGCACCAGTATGGCAACAACTGGGGCAGCAGAGTTAAGATTTACAATATTTGTGTGATATTCTGGAGTGCAAACGTGGGGCGGGTAGCTGAAGGGAGCAATCATGTACAACATTAGGACATGGTCTAAACTGAGTTACTAATTCCTGCAGTTGTAACTAGGTGCAAAGCACGTCACAGGTATTCCACTTAAACGTGGCACCAGTGAACTGAAAGTATATTTTATGGACAAATTTGTATGCCTTAGACAAGTGGCAGGGTAGAGTTTTGGGGGATTCTTTTATTTTTTTTTTTAATAAGAATGAACTTCCTATAGCCATGACCAAGTAGTGAGTAAGTAAAGGGCAAAATATTAAAATTACGTACTTTAAAAAAAACCCCTCATACCCTTTTATCTTTCATCTTCTTAGACTTCTGTTCTCCCTCCCTTTTCTGTTCTCTCTCACATGCAAACCCCAAACAAACTGTTCTTGTTTTTTCTCTGTAGTATTATGTGAGATCATGTTACCTGCTTTGCTTCTTTTTTAGTAATAAACGTAGGTACCCTGAGACATTAACTCTGCTCCTTGGAAGAGAGAATGTAGCATCTGCCATGGATGGGTCTTGCTGACCCATGTAGTCCATTCTGCAAGGTTCTCCTTCTTGGTTTTATCTGTTTCTTTCTCCTCTCAAAAAACAGGCAGAAGGGAAAGGTACCCAAAGGTAGAAGAGTATGACTGAAAAAATTAGACCCTCTTTCTCTCCTTCGGAAGCAGAGATAGCAAGTTTTGGAAGCTTTATAAATATTCTTCATATGCCATGAGTTATTGATTCCTACAATGTATCTTTGTGTGGATTAGAAATGTAATTAAATTGTAGTTTTGTTTTGTTTCATTTTTTTTTCTGCATAGTGTCATATTTTTGCTGCCTAACACTCGGATTGTGAAACCAAACTGTCCTTATTTTCAGTTTTGGAAAATCACAGCATACCAGCTTTAAGACTTTTCTGGATTTAGTGTGATGGAGAGAACAGTTTGTCCAAAATGGGCTTTTAATGTTCATGGATTTTCAAAATAAGCAGTTAAATTTTCATCTTACAGATAGAAACTTGGAAGAAGGGAAAAATAGTTAAGAATCACATTTCTTGTGTACATTATGTTTCAGAGGAGAGTTTTGTAGTGTTGGAATAGAAAATGGTAACAAATGCATGTGCATACCGCTTACTTACGTTGTTTGGTTTTTCAACAGGGTCTGTGTTTTAATGGAAGTGCCTTTGTTTTGTACCTCATTGCTGCCATTGTAGATGCATCTTCAGTTACCAAAGAACTGGACAGTCACAATTACAACAGCTGGGCAGCTTCTTCTGTGAGTTCATTTTTTGTTTAAATCAGTTCTATGACTAATGAGGTTATATCAAAAGAAGGCTAACTGGAAGTGTGGGTTGAAATGCATGTGTTATGGATTTTTGAAAAGCTTCAGACTGATACCGAAGCTCACACACAAAACTATAGATAGGTGTAATTTATCTCATAGTTTTTGGAGGTGACTAGAAATTCCACCAGGAGATGACAGTCACATTAGAAAAGGCTGTAATGTTTTAAAGATCATACTGCTTTTCCCCTCCCCTGCTCCCATTTATTACTGGCTCTCTGGCAGAGGTTATAGCCTGCACATCAGAGTAGGCAAAACAGATCAGGTGAGTGCCAAGTCACCTCAATGCACTTGGACAACTTCAAAAGCAGTTTAAACTAACTCAGTGAACTTTGCACGTGTGTGGATAAGATGCATTGCGCTTTTTGTGGGCCGAGCCATATACACAGCACCTTTGGGAAAGGTCCTGAAAGTGGTATTGAAGTTTCTACAGTGATCTTCCTGTTACAGCCTCAACTTCTGATAGTCTTTCTTCTGAGTAGGGTAGGCAATGCCTGAAAAATCATGTAACTTACCAATGTACCAATGTTTTAAAGTGAATGCAAATCATTAATTCGTCTGACATTACTGTCTTACTACTTATATTTGGAAATTCAAAGCAATCAGTCAAAGTAGGTGAAAAACAACCTTTTTTTTTTTTTTTTTTTTAAAGAGCCTTCTCACTTTCTGAGTATGCATTCTCTAGCTAAATTAAGGGATTGTAAAAGAACTTTTTGCATGTTGTGGCAACAGTACTCTGATTAAATTGTATACAGCAATTCCGAATTACAGCCACTTTGCTGTTTGTGGTTCTGCAGTTGTCCCTCTGGACTAGTCACAAATCCTGTCTTCTGACTGAAGCTTATTGTATATGGCTGTGAACATGGAGACTTGAACACCTGCTCTGTTTTTGTCTTGAGATTTGGATAACTATGTCCCTGCCATTTCAGTGGCATTCAGGTTCTCCCCTTGGCAGTTTGTAACTATTGATCTCTTACTAAGCCACTGCTGTTGACAGGAACTTGCTTGCTGCTAGGTAAGCTTCCATGCTGATTCAGGTTTTATGCAAAATGCATGAATGCTTAGTGTCTCATGGGATGTTTGGAATCTCTTCTAATACCTCCTAATAATGTTTATCTAATGCACTGTCTAAATAGACTATTAAATGTAGATTCCTGCTTTCTGAACCCATTAATGGTTTCATGGATAGATGTTTCTGAGAATTCAGCACCCATCTATCCCCAACAGTCATTCTCTGTTAGAAAGATTTTAGATGGAGCTTTTATTTCATAAGAAACAAAATTATTGGAAAAGAGGAATGCTACAATTTTCTCTTGTAATATTATTTTACATCATCATCTATGGCTTTTGGTGCCACAGATGAAATCTATATTGGACAAGACTGAGAGCTGTCTGTTGGAGGGCTTTGATTTACTGCCTGTATGCACGCTTAGTAGTGCCCTGCTCTGAGAGCTGAAGTACCAATATATACCAATGGTGGTATACAAGCAAGAAACATTGGTAGAATCATAAAGTATTTTTAGGCTGGGAGGGACCTCTGGAGGTCATCTGGTCCAGCTCTCTTCCCTCTTAAAGCAGGGCTCACTTGTATCAGGCTCCAGGGCCTTGTCCACTTGAGTATTTCCGAGGATGGCTACTCCACAACACCTCTGGGCCCCTGTTGTCTCATTTGATTACTCTCCACTGAATTTTGTTTTCCTAATATTTAAATGAGATTTCCATTCTTTTAACTTGCATTTGTTCCCTCTTGCCCTACCATTGCTCACCTCTGAGAAAAGTACCTGTTAATACTATTTGCAGTATCAGCTTTATTTGGTTCAGTTACTAGCACAAAACATTCTGGTCATTTTGAACATTGTTTTGAACAACACACAGTGATTAACAGGAACTTAACCACTGGCTTTGAAATGGACTTCATCAGTACAACTGCAATAGTTCACAGCTGTTCTTTGGTTTCTGTGTGAGTATGCTGCAAGCACTGCAGAAGCAACACCGATACTGTGTAGTTTTAATCTTTAAACGTAAAATAAATCTAGCCTGGTACAGAAAGCTTATTCTGTAATCGACTTCTGACAAAGGAGTAATATCTCAATGTGGTTGCTGTCACTGTTATTTGCACGGGTGAATACCTTTATTCATTGGTAGAAGACCTCTGGAATTGGTAACCTCATCAGTACTGCTGCTTGAGAACACGTCTGGGCCTGCATTTGAATCCAAGTTTTCTCTGCGAACAAATCTATTTTGGTGCACAGTGTGCCACACGGAGGTACAGGTGGGCTGTGGGCAATTCCTAGCACATAGCAGCAGCGCAGGAACGTTAGCATGAGCTCACAGTCCCGTGGACTATCCCTGGGTCTTTACCAGCGACTGATGTTAAAAGCAGCAAGTATAGGACTGGTGGGAGTCCAGTCTATAAGATCGATACTGAGGCAGCATGATGTGGAGATAGGAGCTGAAATATGCTGTATTTTGTCTGCTTCTAGGTCTATATTTCTACACATAATATAAGCTTACTTACACAGTGTTGACTCTGATAGCCACCCAGGCTTAAGGAGGTGAAAGAGTGCCATTTTAGTCAGCCCACTATTTCTCCTTTTGACAAATCCTGTAACTTTTTTTTTTCCATAGAAATGACAGTGCTCTCAAATATATATTTTTTCCTAATATATTTTTTCCTCTCTCTCTACAGTTCTTTGCCTTTGTGGTTACCTCCTGCTATGCTGGAAATACGTATTTTAGCTTTATATCTTGGCGATCACGAACTTTGCAGTAAATATTTTGTTAAAATGAATTCTGTAGTATGAAGTATCTTGAGGATTATATTCTTTTGATGAAAGCTTGGAAGAGGGATGAGGTCTTTTTGAACATTTCTGTTAAAATTGACACAATGTATTTTAAACGGAGATTAAACAATTATTTATAATACAATACCTTATTTAGAGACATCTAACAGCGACTTTGTACTGTATAATAAAATTTCATACTGCTTCTTTTAAAATCAACATGGTATTTTTCTAGAAATTGTATAGATGTTATTACTAAGCCTTTAATAAATCTTACTCAATGTGCCAATTTTGTAAATGTAACTTTTTAAATGTTACAGGTATACTTTTGATACTGAATGCTACAAAATGAAACTAATATTGTTACTGTCTCATTATTATGTATAAAAAGTGACATTGTGCAGAAAAAAACCACACAAAACTTTAAATAAATAATGGACTCAATTGTGTGTGTTTTGTAAACTGGGAGTAGAAGGTTGCTTTCTAAATTTCTTTTTCAGAGTAAAATATATACTACTAAGAATTCTGATGATCCTGTCAGTTTGCACATTCTAACAGCTTCTCACAGTCATGAGATTGCTTTTGGAACTTGTTACTGTAGGTCTGAAGCTCCTTGAAGGAATGTTGCGCCTGAAACATTATCTTAACAGGTATCCACCAGGCTCCCAAGGCGTAAGTCTACACACAATCCCTTAGTGCTCAGTGTCTAACCTACTGAGAATATCACAAGATACCTATTAAAGGTAATACATTTTGTTTCTCAGGGGACTGGTTTTTTCTCTTTTCTCCTCAGATTAGGCCATTAATCTGTTCTAATTAAAATCCAGGTTTATAAATCTTAGTAATGATAGAAAGATTAAATCCATAGAAGAATTGTCAAAGACACCAGTGATAGAAATAAAGACTTTCCTCCCTCCTTTCCTGTCTACTGGCATCATCTGTGAGTTGTTATTTTAAGAAATCAAGTTTTGAATTTGATGCTCATATTGAAATATCTTTGAGTCAAGCAGAAGTCTGACAGAAGATTATAACTTTCAAAACAGATAGTTTTGAAAATGACTTTCAAATACAAATTACCCGAGGAATTTTTTCCTGGAATTATGTGTAGAGTGCAAGGTTGTGATTATTTTGTGATATTATTCAAAGGTTTTCTCACTTAAAACTACTGGTAAATCTCTTATTCCTTGATTAAGAAGATTTGGACCCTCTTCCAGACCTGAAAAACTTAGTTGGACAATTATATATGGAAGTAGAGAAACCTTACTGCTTGAACTTCTTTATTTCGCCCTGTAACTAAATGGTGTGTGCTTACATATGTGCGTGCCCTGCAGCAAAGAAGATTTATCAGCAGCCGGCTAATTGTGTTCTTGATCACGTTGTTTTCTTCTTGATTATCTGTCTGAGTCACAGGATTTCAGTGTAAGGGAAGCCAAGATATTATTTAAAAACCTATATTTGTCTGCAGACTGCATCTGGCCTGTACAACAAAGGTCAGGCTGTCTGCTGCTTGCTAAAATTATCCAGTTGTGAGAAGGAAGAAGGGCTACCAACTATGCATTTTATCTACACAGATAAAATGTGTCATTAAAATCCTGTATGCTCTTTTCCATTGCTGGGAAAAAATCAAAGGCATAAAGATGATCCAAATGTCAACTGATAAAATGTGACTAGAAATATAGCCAGAATTAAAATCTCATCAGTTATTTCTCATCAGTAAAAACGCTTTTGTACTAATAGAAATTATTTCTTAAATTATATTTGATTTTTTTATTATATCTTAAGTTCAAAGAACGTGACTGTGTTTGCACAAATGTTTCACGATTTTGTGATAACTGTGATGGTCTGGTCTAAACTCATAACCCAGACAACAGTTGTGGAGAGAGGGAGTAAGAGGGAGTGGAGCTAAGAGGGAGTTTCAGCCAGTTTACCAAAAACTGTCATGGAAACTGTATGTTACATGTCAGAATAAATTCATTAATGAAGGATAAAACCACACTGTCACCAGATAAGGAATGATTCTGGCAAAATATCTACCACCTCTCTGAGTCTTCAGCACAGATCCTCAAGGGAAGATGTGTGGATTGTCTTCTAAAGGCAAATCTGTGAGTTGAATCCTTAATTATGAATTTTAAAAAATATGTACTAGGCAGAAATTTGCTTTATGCTTGGCCTTTTTTTTATAAACCATAACTTCTCTGCCTTACTCTTTCCTTTTAGAAAGATAATTATCTTACTTCCCATGCTCTTCTCATCTGTCTAATTACTCAGCTGTTCCCCAGGTACCAACTGTTTTTCAAACATTCTGAATATCTAGTTAAAATTGCAGGAATTGGTACAAGCTGAGAATTTCTTCTGAAGTTTGCTTCTCCTATTTCAGGCCTGAACAAAGACATAAGCACCCAAAAGGTTATTTGTTTCTTCCAGCACATTAGTCTTAAATATTGATTTGCAAACTACGATTTATGCCTTTGTATATTCTAATATTGATAAAGAAGATAAGCTAGCTGTGGTTTATCATGTAACAATTAAAACAAGATTTGTGGCTGCAGATATTGCTTAGTATTCATGAGATTGAAAGAAACCTCAAAAGAACAACTGGTAAGTGATGAAATCAGTGAAATTCTTAATACAAGTATTTAGAAGAATAAACAAAATGCTAATCAGCTTGAAAAATGAAGGTATTTGACATTATAAATACCTTTTTTTTCAGACAAACTGTCTGAAAAATCTAAGTCACCAACATAAATAAGGATACTTGATGTCAAGTTATAGCCATCCCATTTCATTAATTAAGGAGTTGTCAGTACCTCTTACCATCATCATACTTGACGCACCTAACAAGATGCACATAAATAGCATAAGAACTGTAACAAAGCTTTAAATTCAGCAGTGTTTTGGACTGAATTTGTGCCAGGGGTTTATAGAAGATTATTTCTGAGTAGAAAATATGACTGTTATTTTATTTGTATTAATTTAAAGGTATTTGTTTCACTGGGCTGAACTCAAATCAGCAGGGCCCCAGTCATATACACACTTTCAAAAGAAGTTAAGAACTAAAAAAGCTGAATCATTGGATAAGAAAAATATATTTCTTAATAGGAAGTACAGAAGTTACTAGAACCTTCCTCCACAGGGCTTGCAAGAGACCTATAAATGTGCATGCTTCTGAACTGTAAGGAGAAGAGTTTAAAAAAGCAGATGTTTAATAAAAAAACCTCTCAGCAGCTAGCATTTTACTCTTGCCTAGATTGGCAATGTTGTAGCTTTGATATCTAATGACTTGAAATAAAATTTGGTGGAACAGGTAATATCTCTTATTGCAGCTACTAGCTGGATTAATATAAGCCCAAAACTATGTACTGCTTAGTCTACTGTAGACGGCTGCCTGCACTGGCACACCTTGTCTTGCTCACATCAGTTACTTAGCTGGCCCCTTATTTGTGTTGGAGATCATCTGAACTTACCTGTCTTCCCTGCAGAGACAATTTTAGTTGCTGAAGGAGCTATTAAACAGCTATTAAACAGCTAACTGCTGTTCTGCAGTTAGGATACACTTCAGCACACAGCAGAAGATGGCATTACTGCTCTAATGAGTATAAAAGCAGCATGTGCCCAGCTCGGAGGCCTGCTCTTACCTCACTTGTCAGAAAGCAAAACAAGTTATTTTTAAACTTGAGGAAATATATAGCTTCCTTTGCTGCATTTTGTGAGTATCTCTGCATGATTTAATTCCAACACTAGAGTTGAGACATTTAGACAGTCGTCACAATTTTGCCTGTCGCTGCCCATTGAATGCAAATGTTTTTATCTTGCACGAGACCATGAATGGGAAGGTTTGGGGTTTGTTTAGTGCCACTCGGTGTTGTGTGGGAAGAGGCTGTTTGCAGCTGTGCCTCCGGAGCAGCTCCCCTCCAACCACATCGCCGACACTCCTTGGCACGCCTACGGATCCTCTACCGTCGGAGTAAAACTCCGAACCGCTGTGGGGACCGCTTCAGCGCCGAGCTCCCCTCCGGGGACCCACAGTGGATAGTGAGGCGTCCCCCTCCTCCCTGCTCGGAAATGTTCGCTTCGGCCTCTATTTTCACGTAACGCAGCTGCAAAACGCGGACGGCCGGTCCGCTCCGACAAGGTGCTGCGGCACGGCCACCTTCTGCCTGCCCGAGTGGGGCTCCCGCTCCCCCTCCCCGAGCGGGCCTCCCGCTCCCACCCGGCTTTGTCCCCGGCCCCACTTACCCTGCGCGGGTCGGGAAACCCCCGCGACTCCTCCTCGGCGGCCCCCGCCCCCG